GGAAAAAAAAAAAAACCAGTAAGTTCCAAGGAGGAATGCTAAATATTTCTCATCTCACAAAAAGATGCTCCAGCAAAGTACAGGAGTGTCTTCTCATGAGATTTAGAAATCTCTGCATTCCCTGGGACCTCTTTAGAAGGATCGGGAGAATGACATCAACCTTGCCTCAGTGCTGTGGACAGAAGCAGTGAGTAAGGCAAGCATATTTACAAAAGAAAAACCTGTGGGGGGAAAAAAAAAATATTTTCAAGGACCTCCTTTTTGGAAAAAAAGCATTCGAATTTGTTCTAATGACTGGACTTTTCAGGTCTCTCGCTGCCCTACCCCCACCTCCACTAACTCTTGCTTGCATGGTCGCTCACTCACTTTTATTATCATCCTGATCAGATGAAACCAGGACTGTTGATGATGGTGCTGTCAGGGAACTAGGAGCCCCTATCTGTAGGGTCCTATTTCTGAAATGGAATGTTTATGGCATGCTAGAAGGAAAGCGTTAAATGATCCATAAGTTATTACAATTAGCAAACAATTAGCTTTTCTAGTCATCATCATGGAGGATGTGCTTCAGAGTGAAGAGCTCCCAAAATCCCAGCAACAGATTGGGCAGCATTATTAAGCCTGTGACACTGATTAAAACTTGTAAAGGAGTACTTGAGTACTGGAGTGAAGTAATACTGTACCAAATTCTAAGGTTCTAGCCCTTCTTCACTCTATCCTAACCTTAACAAATGTTTGGATGTTGCTGGGCTTTAATAGTTGATCTTCAAAAGAAATATATAATACCCCTTCAATGGGTTCTGTAGTTCTCAATTAAGAGATGAATGGAATATTTTTTTCTTTTTCAGTAACAATGAAACTCCCAAAACAGCGGATGAGGGAATGAAAGAACTGTCAGGTAATTCACAATTAAGTGGTACAAAGGTTATATTTTAAAGAATTACAAAAGCACCAATCCTGGGTTTGGGATTCATATATATGTGTATATTTGCGTATGGTGTGTCCAACCTCACACACTCTTCACAGCACATCTCTCCCCAGCAACCTGTATGAACCCTCATCTAACAGCACATGCCTTAATTGTCGGGATCCGCTTCAGCTGCGGCATCTGAGTATACCGCGAGCACTAGCTCGCGGTATACTGTGGCGTCTCAGTATACAGCGAGCTGTAGCTCCCGGTATACTGAGCTTAGGGTGACGGGAGGACGTTGGTTTGTGTCCTCCCGTTACCCTAAGGAGATTTATGGGGAAAAGCCTTAACCCCATAGTTCTCTAAGTGTTCCCTCAACTGTAACACTCTCTGTATACAAGTCCTGAGCTTTTAAGCAGCTAGAAAGTCTGCCCCACTGAAGCCTCACACATTCCTGTTAGGAGGACATGATCCTAGTTAATTTTATTGCTTCATTGCTGTGCTGTATGTGTATGTAATATGGGGGTAATAACATTTTAATAAAATACAAGATTAAAGACACTTGCATTAATAGGTGCTACATCGTGTCATGTAATGAATCCAGGACACACACAATACTGCTGTTGTCATTACCTGGTATTCACAGAGTGTGCAGCAGTGACGTGAAGTGGAGTCCGTTCTTGGTGAGTCATTTCCCCTGCACCTGCTCCGCCTCGCCCGTCCATGCTCCGTCGGCTAACGAAGGGAAGGCAGGAGGAGTCCGCTGATGTCACGGACATCAACGTCACCGGACTCCTCCCCCCTTCCCTTCGTTAGCCTTATATATATATATATTAGGGCTGCGAAAATTAACGATTAATTCCTCGATGAATCGTTAATTTTTTATATATATATAGTTAAAATACTAATTTGCCCTAGCAGATGAAGCCTAAACCACAAACTGGGAAGACTGTTCCTCCCTCTGAGGCCAAGAAGAAGTCCCTTTTTTTATTCCCAGGCTTCAACCTCCAAGGCCATACCCAAGCCAGGGGCCAAGTTCAATCCTGAGCACTAAATCTCCCAAATCTCTGTTTTGAGTAACACCCAAGTGTTCGCCAAGGTATTGGCACCCATGCTAGCCTTACTATGCTTACACGGTATCCCTATTGTGGGATACTTAGACGATCTGTTAAGGTAACAGTTGGCACAAATTCTGACCGACAGTTTATTGCGCAAAATCCAGACCTTAAAATGTTTGGTTGGATTCTAAACCTTCAGAAATCAGTGCTGGAACTGACACATCATTTGCAATATCTAGTTTCATTCTAGACACAGCTCAAGTCAGAGTTGTTCTTTCCCAAGAAAAACTTTTGACTCTTTTCTCCCAATCAAGGACTCCACAATCTAGGTGCCTCCAACTCTATAGTTCTGCATAAGAGTTCTGGGCTTGATGGTATCCTTCTTTGAGTCAGTGCCATTTGTTCAGTTGTACTCCAGAACCCCTACAACACAACATTCTGTTATCATGGGACAAATCATTTTAGTATCTAGACAAACTGACTTGCTGAAGACCAGGTTATCTCTGGCCTGGTAGCTCAGGAATTCAACTCTGGAATTGGGTAAATGTTTCCTCCCTTCGTCCCGGAAGATCCTAATAATGGATAGCAGCTTGAAGGGCTGGGTAGGAGTCCTAGACACCTTATTGGTGGCACGGGAATTGTTTACCAGAGGATTCCTGATCAACATTATGGAAATCTGAGCAAATTGGTTGTCCTTGAAACAATGGACAGCCCAACTAGCTATCAGAGTTGGACAGTGCCATAGCAGTGGCGTACATCAATCATTTGGGAGGAACCAGAAGTCTTGCTGTGGCAAGAGAGATGGAAAGGATTCTGGCCAGGGCAAAATTCCATGTTCAAGCCTTGTCTGCTATTCACATTGCATGCATAGACAATTGGCAGTCAGAACCTCCAGGTTTTTCTCCCAGCTGTAGATGTCCTCTATCAGAAGAAGTGAATGCTCTGCTGACCCCAGGATTTACTGATCCAACGATCTATGCTTTTCCTCCTCTGAAACTCCTTTGTTGTTTCAGCCACAGGATCTAGATACTCCCACCTGATTAAACTTCTGTCAGACACCCCAAATTTCCGATCCCAAGGGCTAGTTTACCACCCTGCTTTATGGTTGCTGGTTTCAATAACATGGCTGTTGAAGCCCAGGTCTTACGAGACATGGGTCTCTGATTTTTTTTTTTTTTTATATTTTTTTTTTTATTCCCATGCTGTTAAAAGTTAAGAAGTCTATCTCTCGCAAGGTTTGCCATTGCACAAGGAAGGCTTGCTTCATCTGGTGCAAGGAAAGATGATTTCTCGGACCTTGTCATCTTGTTCCGAAGACCATTAGCCCCCAATGCTTTTGTACAGGTTGTGGCTCCTCATGTGTAACCAATTGTGACTATATGGAATTTGAATCTGGTCAACACTTCAAAAACTGCCTTTTGAACCCATCAGGGATATTCCTCTTCACTCACAAGGTTGCATTTTTGTTGTTGACATTTCTTCTGGAAGTTGTGCAGCCTTGTCCTGTGAAGAACCCTTTCTCATCTTGATTAGAACCTCTTTCCTTCCTACCTTTTGGTCTTTTGCCTCAACCAGGACATTGTTCTTCCATCTCTCTCTCTGGCTCCAGCACATCAAAGGGACATTTCCCTTTATTGTCTGGGTGTAATTCATGCTGTGTGCGTTTGTCACTGTTTCCATTAGAAAGACTGACTCCTTTTTTTGTCATTCTTGATGGTACCCATGAAAGGGAATGAGCTTCTTGCTTTACCATTTCTTAATGCCTCACACAGATCAGTGTTCAAGCCTATAGTCTAAAGGATCAGTCTCAACCTACCTTATTAAACCTCACTTTACCAGGTTTGTAAGTGCCTCTTGGGCTTTTTGATATCAGGCAGCTGTTCCCGATTCACATAACTACCACATGGGCTTCTGTTTACATATTCTTTAAGTTTTACCAGCAGGCCTCACCTTATGTCAGCGTGGGTTGTAAAGTCCTTTAGGTAGCTCTTTAAGCTGCAGGCTGCCCACAGTTCTATTGTTCCCTTTGATGTGGACCTGTTAGTGTTTTGTTACTGTTGCCCATCTTTTAGTTGGGCTGCTTTTGAATGTCCCAATTCTCTCTGGATAACAAAATCCTGTGTCTTTTTATGAACAAGAAAGAAAATAGGTTGTTTTTTTTACTTTACCATAAAATATTTTTCTTGTGATTTATATTAAGAGACACAGGTCCCACCCCTCTGTGTTTGTGACTACTCCTAGTACTGCTTTTCTGCAAAATTGAAGCACTGTGGGAGAACTTGAAAAAACATATTTTACAGTAGTACAAAAATCCTATTTTAGAAATTGCAGAAGACGGAACAAATATGTTGTCATGCAGTCTGCTTTAGGTGAAATGTGTTCTTTCACCTCCCCTATGTGGTGTACTGGAGTTAAGAAATATGGACAGGCATTCAATAAGTAGTGCCAACATAGGGGGTAGCAAAGAATAATGCGGGCAATAGGAGTGACCTATGTACTCCACATGTCAGTGAAAAACAGGAGAAGCGTTATATTTTACGACACGGATTTGCTATTAGATCACAGCTTGATCTTATAACATTTCCCTTTCTGCGGCTGAATAGCAGAGCTGTGCCAGTAAAACAAAAAAACATGCTAGTGAGTGACTACTCTTTATTTATTTGGTTACATTAAAAAAACTAGCAGTGTAATTTTGCATTAATTAGCCAGCTGATTCTGTTAACTTGTTAGTCAGGCTGGCCATACACTGCTTTATTTTTCTCGTTCAACCCGCGGGCTGAATGAAAAAAAATTGAGCAGATTTCCTCTCAAGACTTCAAGTGTGTCGAACGAGGAATCCCCGCTGTTTGCGCTGTATTCTGACAGCGCCCGCCGTCCCCGGTCAGAATACCAAAACAGAGCCGGCAGCCCAATGGCTGCCCGCTCTTCTCTTGCAAAGATTTCCCGGCCGGCTCCTTCGAACAACCAGCCGAAAGGGTCCCGGCAGCGGCACCCACTGTGCGAAATTCGCACAGTGTATGGCCACCTTTAAACACCCCCCAATGTTTGGGATCACATTATTTATCTTAACTTTCACAAGGGGCACTCAAAGTTTCTAAATCTTCCGCATACATTTTAGTCTAAAGCCAAATATACTTGATGCTTCTTAGGTATAATTCTATACCATCAAATTAAACACTCTGTGCATCTCAACAAGAGAATTATAATTTGGTGCTGTCTGTCACCAGTTTCAGGATTTCCTAATTTGCAGCTGTTTACCATGGACCAGTTATAAGGGACTGTATAGTTTTATTCTATATTGTTTCGCATTTAGTGATTTTAATAGCGTAATAGGTATCCTTAAAGCAGACCTAAAGTCAAAACGGTATTTTTGATCTTCTGGCCCACCTTGCATATGATGTTGCATTAAAAGGCAGGGACTTCTTATTACTTAGACCAGGGGTCTCAAACCTCCGGCCCTCTAGCTGTGGTGAAACTACAAATCCCATGATGCATCTCTCTTGGGGAGTCATGTCTGTGGCTGTGAGAATCCTGCAATGCCTCATGGGATTTGTAGTTCCACCACAGCTAGAGGGCCGGAGGTTTGAGACCCCTGACTTAGATCAAAACACCCCCCACCAAAAAAACACATATTAAAAAAAAAAGAGAGAGAAAACTGAACATTGAGATTCTTCCATATACTCAGTTGTGACTAATTCTTTTTAACTTAAAAATTATATATTTGGGAAATTAAGACTGACTAAAACAATTTTCAAATATAAATAAAATAAAAATGGTTCGATCAAAAGTTCGTTTCAGTGAAAAGTAAATGTCAGAGTGATCACTAGATCCAGATATTGGCAGCTGAGGTGACATGCAAATTTTTAAGTTTTTCTGTAAAAGACAAGCTTGGCCCTGCCTTCTCCTCCTATGTCTCCCTACTAGCCCTTTAAGATGATGACCCAACCCTCCTTCTTCTACCTGAGCATACCTGTTAATCGTTGAGTTCCCTAATTAGCTTACCATGCCAATAAGGAGCTTTGATAGGTACAACCACAGAACATACAGGGATAATTATGCCATACAATGGCGGCCAGTAGTACTTTCCATTCTTGACATTCTATACTATTTTTAAAACTCAAAATATGTACCAGTTTTTACGAAATTCTAATGTTGTGGTGATTATTACTGTTGTGATATTTTATAGCCAGATACCCTAGGACAATAGATTTTTGAAGATGACATAAGTTCTTAATAGTCTAATATTTTCCTGAGTAGAAATCTGTCTGTTGCTTTCCTGAGAAGAAGTACTACTTTTTGTTCCAGTGAGACAATAATAGTGTAACAAATTCCTCTTTTATTACAGAAAATTACAGCGAAGACTTTGAAGATGACCCTGAAGCTCTAAGCCCAATTGCCAGAAATTTAGAAGAACATGATGGTCTGGAAGACCATAGAAAGGTGAATAGTCCAGTTTCTTCTTTTTGTTTTGTTTAAACAGATAGACTCTTGCATTTGAGTACATTATAGAAGCTGTAGATACTGTTTTACTAAGCTATACTGATACTAAGTTATATAAGCCAGATGGTCTCAGTTTCTCCTTTTATGCCTTTTTAGAAATTATATTCTGTCCATCTCCCCATTTCGCCTAGTACGCTTGCTGGCATTAGTTTCCACATGTCATTATACTGTGCTATTTAAGCCATCGGTGTTCTATCCCTTTTATTTGCCAGACATAGTGGAGTACACTATAGGAGTGTCACTTTGTTTTTGAAATAGTTGTGCCTATTTACCAAGGCTACATCTTAGAATTCCAACATAGTTGCCATACTGTACACATACTGTATGTGTTATAGAAAGAATAAGAATAACATTCAGTTTCTGAGAACCTATTTCATTTTTAATATTTCTCTTAACCTTTAGGAAGAAGAAAATCATGGAATGCTTGCCAAAGGTGAGTCCATAAATGCTCCCCGAATGTTTTGGCCCAGGAAAACGCACACAAGGTCTTGTTCCGGTGGTACATGACCCTGGAAAGGATTTCCAAGTTTGCCCCCTCCGTTTCACCCTGTTGTTTCCGGGGCTGTACGGACAGGGGCACCTTATTTCATATATGGTGGCAGTGCCCGAAGGTGCAGAGGTTGTGGATCAGGGTCTATAATTTGCTGAGATCAGTTCTCGGTGCAACCATTGTCTGTAGTCCTTGGGAGGCCCTCCTGGGTAGGCCAGTCACTCACCTTCTGAAGAGGGAAAGGAAGTTAGCTAATTTCATCTTTTTGGCTTCCAGACAAACTATTGCTAGAGCCTGGAAGCAGCCCACGTTGCTTATTTCAGAAGTCAAGCAGCGGGTCATGTGTATTATGGTGCACGAGAAGCTTACGGCTATCCTACACGACTCGTATGCCTCTTTTCAGAAAACATGGTCGCCCTGGCTGGACTATGTACAGCCAACGGGACTGGATCGCGACTTATTGGCCCTCTGATCGGGATTTACCCGATCAAGGCGAGCTGATCTCCCTTCCCTCCCCGATTCCACATGCGGCCCCCCTCCTCTTCTTTCTTTTCCTCTCTTTGTATGTCCTTCTCTCTTGTCTTTTGTTGTTTTTTTTTCTTCTTCACTTGCCTAAGGGTTCTTCTAATGTTTGATGGAACCTATCTCGGATGTCACGGAATGGTGGCAAGGCTATAGTATGCTGCTTTATCACCCAATAGTGGGGTTATGCTTGCGTCCTGCAGCAGGTAGCTGGCAGCCCCGCTCCGGGCCTTAAGCAGGGGCTAGCCCACCCGTGGAGCCTATGCATAGGTTATCTTGGTTTTATTTGATTTCGCACAGGCTCATGAGTGGGAGGTCCTCTGTTTTCCGCAGTTGTCATATTATGTCCAGATCTATGGTGATGCGTTGCACTAGCTATTATATGACTGTCATGCTGTAACCCATCAGTGAACCGTTCTAATAATGTACCGTGATGTTCTTCCCACATGCGCCTTTTGGCATTGTTTCCTTGTGGATGGAACGTATTTCTGTTTCTGTTTTTCCTAAATAAAAATACTTGTACAACAAAGGTGAGTCCATGGTTAGCACTTAACACTTCCCTAATCTGCTTCTGTAAATACTTTGTGTTGAGAGAAAGTTAGTCAGATGTATGGATCGTGCTTTCGACATGGATTTGACATGGAAAAACGGTGGCCAGACTGGAAAACGTTCAGGGTCCTGCTTTATAAAGGTGGCTAAAATGTCATTCCATTTAATTCAATAACATTTTCCAAACTTCCTTCAATAAATGTTAACCCATTCAAATTCTGGGGTAATCCTAACCTTCGACCAGACAAAATTGTGTACTTTTGTTATGCGCCAGTTTACTCAACAATACACGTTTCAACATTTTGCATTACAAATAGATTTTCATTGTCCTTCATTAAGCAAGACTAGATTCAGTTGTTCTGAGAAAAATGGGTAATACTGCCACCTACAGGAAGAATTAGACACTAGTAAACAAAAACAGCCATTAGCCAGCCAAGTGTAACCCCTCCCACTCCCTGGATGCTTCAGTGTTTTTGCTAGTGTCCTTGGAAGATGGAAGTCTTTTCTCTACTGAGAAAAGTTTATCCATTTTTAATTTTCTTAAGATCTTTTTTGCTCATCTGCAAGCTGCTCAGCTCTGCTCTTTTATACAGCTATTTGGATTGGTGTTTCCTCGACGATACCTTGGAGGTTCTACCCAGAACCTGCTGGACCAAGGATTTGTCTGGAATGTGACCTTGAAGCAATGGGCTCTGCTTGTGGCTCTTTCCAGACCTTTGTGTACCGTGTTAGCTGCAGAGCTCTCCCCAGGTTCACAGCCATGGCACAGCCTCTGGTGTGACTCAACCTCTGAGGACTTGCTTTGTGAGTTTGCCCATGGATGTTGCCAGAATGTCACCTTCTGTTACTGGGCTCTGCTTTACAGACTCTTGTGTACTGTGTTGGTTAGTCGCAGACCGCACTGAAACTTCAGTACCGTGGTAGGTCTCTGAGGACTCGTTATCATGTGTCTGGTTCACATGCTGGGGAAGTGCAGTTATACTAGCTGCAGTGTTGCATGTTTTTCACACACTATTCTCTCCTTTGTCCAGTGTGAGGTAATTCTTCCCAGCATTGTTCGTATGGCAAGGGACGCAGTCTTTTCACCTTAGCTAGTCCTTGTCACTGCCTACACTGACCTAGTCACCTCCAGTCTTTTAAACTGTTCTGCTTTCAGCAGCTGGTTTTTGAGTACACAAACCGTGTTTCTGCTGTTTCGGGTCTCTCCAGCTCATGATCAACTAACTGCAGTGTCCCTCCTTAGGGTATTGACACCAACAGCCTGGATCGTTGTCCCCTACTTCAGCCCACACACTTCTCAGAGCCTCTCTTAGCTCCATGAGGTGTGGCCTCCTCCTCTACCCTATCCAGGGTGAAGTTTTATACTGCTATGCTAGAGTGTAAAATTGCAACTGTGATTGCTGACTTGAAGCCGTAAGTTTACTTCTGCAACTTATCTCCAGAATCTGTCTCGCATTCGAGCAGCTATGGCAGCCTCTGAGCTTTCTACTGCGAATGTCTGAAGAGTCTCATAAATATGTGCTGAATGACTTTGTTTCTGATATAGCTCCCAGATTTTAAGATTTAAGAAATTGACTTTTTTTTATTTTTTAAAAATGGATTCATTTAGTTATTTATTTTGCAAAATTTGAATATTTATTTATCCTTGCGGGCAGGGAATGACGTGAATGTGCAGTATGTAAAGCTCTGCGTAAATTGTCGGCGCTATATAAATACCTATGATAAATAAATATTGGACATCAGGGCCATTGCAAACAAGCTAAATAGCATGGTCACCTATTTACTGTACATGTAAAGGAGATCAAGGAGCCTGTACAGTTTGATTAGTTAGGCCTACAGACTTTATTGAAGATCTTTTTGGTAAAAATAAAAAAAAAAGATCTGTTTTAATGATTATTATTTTACATTCTAGTCATGCTTGACTCGATGGATTCCACAATTGACACTCAAAAGCTTTTACAACAAACTCAAGAAGACCCTGTATCAGTTACACCGCAAGAGACCAATGAGGCCATTGGCACAGGTGAGTGTAGTACTTTTGTATATACCAAGTTTGAAAAGCACAGATAAAGAATGTTCTTCTTTCCTAGGTCATTTATAAGATCTTGGTTCCCCCATATGTGTTTTTTTATTTTATACTTCCCTTTTTTTATAGCTCTTTTAGCAGGTCACCAGATGTGCAGGGTCCTCTTTGCCTGTTCTCCAGCATGTGGCAGTCCTCAATATGCAGAGATTGTGGACATTGTACAGTGGTTTCAGGTGGTCCATCTAGGGCTGCAACAACTAATCAACATAATCGATGATTGAAAAAGTTGACAACTTTTTCAATCATCGATTAATCGGCTTCTGATTGGTTGGCTCTGTTTACGGCTCCACACACGCTGCGCGCCGCACCTCCTCCCCACCTCACGTTCGCCGCTGCCAGACCCGCCCGTATCCACGCTCCACACGCCGCATCTTAAAATTTATTTTATTTTTTTATCCGATTAACCGATGAATCGAACGTAATAATCGGCTAACTAATCGATTTTGAAAATAAGCTGCAGCTCTAGGTCCATCACACATTGCACTCACAGGAAGTGGGTTAAATGACAATTGTCATCATTCAACCAGGAAGAGGACTGGTGAGGGTTTGTACTGGAAAGGAGGCAAGTTTACATTTTTTAAATTGCTGGCGACCTCTTTAAAGAAAAATAATTGAAGTTGGTCTTTAAATTGATGCATCTCGATATGGGACATATTTTTTAAAACTGCAAAACAGTATTTAAAGAAGATGCCTCACCTGGTATTCTTTTTCACAGCACAGTCACCTAACTCTCATTAAATGCTGTTTTTTTTTTTTTTTTTTTTTTATCCCATGCTTCTGTGTGCAGTAGAAACTGAGATACACACTTTGACAGCTCATTCTTCTTCATTTCCGACCACTCTCTGCAAAGGAAATGGCCTCTTGATTAACAGCTCTTCTCACAGGCCCTGTACTTTCCAGACACAAGCGAGGTAACAAGAATGCAGAGGGAGGGGGAACAAACACTCACAGTAATCAGCACAGGCACTAGAACTGGAATAGCCTTGTTTTGTGTTGGGAAAGTGACTGTAAGCTTGGCTCCCAGTCCACCCTACAAGGTCAGGGGCTCAAATTCCATAAAACCCTCTGATAAGCCTTCCTTTGCTTGAAGACATGCTCCCAATTTTTAAAGTGTGGGGGGTAGGGGGGGGCAGGCTTTTTTTTAACCTTTGCAGACACTTTGACAGCTCGCATCTCGCAGACGCTTGCATGTGAGAGTTGGTTTTCAAGGGCTACATGCAGGAGTGTTGCTCCTTGCCCCCTCTTCGGTTTCTCACCTTCAAACTTCCTATTTCACTGCACAGAGTAGCAGATCTCCTTCCAGCTCTCTCGGGCCTTCAGATCGAGGTGTCATTGCACCAGTTCACGTGACACAAGTTTTATTCCACCTTGTTCACAGTTCTCAAATCCAAAGGGGCAGCTACCTTCAGGCGATTAGACACTGGCAAATCAATCAAGTTGCACAGCAGCCCTTAACCCCTCACACTCCCAGCCTGCCATATTTTTTGCTACTGTCTTTAGATGATGGACACCTGTTCTAAGACACTATTTTTCTCTGAGATTTCATGGCTCTTCTAGCAAGTTTGCGTAATACTGTTCTAAGCCACTGTGGCGCCTCCAGCAGCTATCCAGATCGGTTTTCTCCTCAGCAATGCCTTGGTGGACTGTAGGCGGACTCTGCTGGAAGGAAGACGCAGGGCTTGCCTGTAATGTGCACATACCGTGCTTTCAGCACCCTCCATCACACCTGTGCAGTATGTGTTGTTAGCTATAGGGTGCTTTTACAGTTTCAGGGCTGTGGTCCATTTCGATAGGGCCCTGACCCTGAGGACTGGATGGCATGTCTCTTCTGACTACTGTGCATCTGTGGTAAGGACCAAAGAACTGCACCTGTACAGCCTCCTTCGTGGGTACTGTACTTTGCATGCGCCGCCACTTTCTTTCCTGGTGCATGCTTCAGGTTGGACACAACTCCTGCTGCTGCGACTCTGCGCACACACAAGGGAGAAGCTTCACTGCTGCTTTTTTTGCCAAGCTTAAGTTGTCCTTTTGATGCCTACAGTAACTGGTCAAGAGCACCCTTTCTCCACTGGCTTTGGGTTTTGTGGGAGACACGCATAGCGGATCATAGGCACAGGGTTACTGTGGCATGGGGGCCCCTCTAGGGCTCTTATTTCTGTTTTAGTCCCATGTTGTGCTCCATATCCCTTTTGTTGCTAGCATTAGGGTCCTCCTCTTCTCCCTCTAGGGCAGTGGTTCTCAACATGTCTAACCTCAAGACCCACATTTTTCCATGGTCATTAAGTCATGACCCAAGTTGCACTGCAATGGAACGCACGGCATTGCTGTACAGCACGCTCCGATGCGGGCAGTAGAACTGTGGAGGGGAGGTACGTTTTGGGGTGCCATTTAAATGAATGGCAATGCAATGCACTTCTCACATCAGAATGCGTGGTAGGTGCGATTGCGTGGTGCAGTGTGTTAATCACACGGGACTGTGTGATTAACGCACTGTACTATTGTGACCGGGCTCTTAAAAACATTGACAGACACACAACCACAGACACATTCTCTCACACACACACACACACACACTCCCCCCAAAAAAATTATTTTTGTTCTTTTTTTTTTTTAAGATCCAACCAGTCTCCCTATCTTACGAGAACTGGAGTGGATCCTCAGCCTGGGGTCCGGTGTGGGTTACTGTGCTGTGATGGAGCTCCTTCCATATGTGCATTGCTTGTACAGCTCCCTTGCATACCCTGTAGAGGTGCCGAGAGCCAGAATGTTACATCACTCTGGTCCAGGCACCTCTACAGGACACACGAGGGAGCTGTGAGCAATGCACTTATGGATGGAGCCCACCCCACCTCAAGCTGACACTCTGCACCGGACAACATATTTGGAATGGCTGCTTCGCGCGAGAACTGACATTGTTGTGCTAGGGGGAGGCTGAGGAGCCCCTCGCCTAGAAAAGTGATAGGCACATGGGGATCCACAGAACACAGGGTCACGACCCACCAGTTGAGAACCAAGGCTCTAGGGCATCCATCTCAAAATTAATATCCAGAAAGTAGTTCAAAGCTGTCATGGCAGATTTATGGGGAAAATGGAATATCTCCTTGATTCATCTGGCCAAAGAGCTGCAAATAGGCTTGGGCCAGCGTTTTGAACTTGAGTACCATCAAGGTATCAGGCGATTCTTTTACAGAGACCACTTGCTTTTTACTACTTTAGTGAAGAGGGTGGCACATGGTTTTCACCCTGTTCATACTTTGGTGACTCTTTGGGACCTCAATCTTGTTCTGTCTTCCCCTTGGAAGCCACCCTTTCAACCGATAAGAGCTATCCCCCCTGCCTTTATTCACTAGCAAGGTGGCCCTCTTCGGAGACATCACTTCTACTAGGTATGTTTCTGAATTAGTGGTGTTGATGTGCAAGGAGCCCTTTGTAGTCATCCATATGTTTAAAGTGGTGTTGAGCCCCAAGGCTTCCTTTCACTATAAGATGATCTCTGCCTTCCACCTTAATCACACATCGTGTTGTAACAAGCTATTCTGACACTCTGTTCATCACCACAGAGGGTCTCATTTCACCATTGCTAGGTGGATTTATCAGACCATATCTCAGGCCTATGAGCTGAAGGGGAAAGTTCCTCCATTTCTGATCACTGTGCACTCTACTAGAAGTGTTAGTGCTTCTTGGGCATTTCAGTGTCAGGCTTCGGTCTCCCCAAACTGCGGACGTTCAGGCCTCAGCAAATGCCAGTTTTGGCCAGAAAGGTCCTCTGATTTGGGCAGACCTTTTTTTTTTTTATAGTTCTGTTCCTGTTGGGGGTGTTGCCCGGCCCTCTGTTGCACTGCTTTTGAACTTCACAGTGGGAAGAGAAATAAATGAACTCCCTAAGTCCTGTGATGTACGATCAGCAAAAGGCCCCTTTCCTCTGTATTCTTTAATCCACTCTGTTCTGCTTGCTTCAAAACTGAGGCAGCCTGGGATGTACTCCAAGAAGAAGGTAAGGCAAAAATACTGTTTTCTTGATGTCCATTAAGGGACACAGGCCCCACCCCTCTTTATGATAATGCTCTTGGTACTGCCTTACTTCAAAATATGTACTGTATGTAGGCATGCTGTTAGTAGGAAGGGTTATCCTGGGCTTTTTTTGCCAGTGTCTAGTCCTCCTTTTTAGGCAGCAGTATAACCCAAAGAAGAATAATTGTGAGGTGCTCTTAATGGTGTTATAAAATTAGGGCAAAAATCCTATTATGGTAATGTGTGAGGTTTTTTTGTTGCTTTGCATGTCTATGTAGCATGAAAACCATTGGAATTGTTTAAAAATGGCACTGGTAGTGATCTCTGAGCTATGTATGTATTCCAGATGTAGCCTTTTCTCTTCAGTAGGTTTTTCTTCATTATAAGTATTTATGACTTTAGGCACAAGCTACACTAATGTAACCGTTGAAAATATTACGAGAAATTTGTCTTTTTTATTAGGTATATCAAACCAATACACAAATAGTGAAATGGAAGCTTTGCATCTAGTGTATCAAAACCTAAACCAGTTAGCAGAGGACACTGATGAGCAGAAAAGTAATCTGAAAGCTACAAGCCATACAAGTACATCTTTTGTAGATACTGCTGATTTAACAGGAAAGAGCTTGCAAAAGATACCCACTGGTGAATCAGGTAATATTCATATTTCAAGGATACAGTGTTAGTAACAATATTAATTTCTAAGTATATCTGAAGCACAGACAGAGGAAAAAAAATCAATGAACAATATTGGGTATTGTTAACGCTACCAGCGCCTAATTGTTCTTGATATAAGTCAGCTATTCTCTACCACACAGAAGCACTCGTGCAATGTGCTGACAAAAGGATGACCTCATCAGTATGTTGCTGCTCCTTCACGGTTCTGTCGACTAGTGTCCCTGATTCAGCTGTGCTGCTGGTGCTGCAGTAGATTGATCTTCTGGCAGAGTTGTAAAGATCACAAACCCCCGAATTACCACTACTCTGGCTGGTACAACTGTTTCCATGTACTGTATGTATTTCAACTGTGTGTTTAGCCACCTGCCTGGATTTTGTCTTTAATTGTAGTCAGTTCTTTATTGGTTTGACAGGACGAGGCTTTTGGTAACTAGCAGAGTTGCCTGAATGGCACTGTGAGCCCTCATAACTGTGATTTTTCAGTGTTGCAATGGATTATCCTTTAAAGGGGAATACTTTTTCTCTGTACTGTTTTATTATTCCTTCTATGACCCCTGACTTCTACCTTGATTTGTGGCTGTAGGAGGGCATTTTAGCAGATGTTGTGATTGTTAGCTGAATAAAAGTTAAACGTTTTTTTGTTTTTTAATCTGTGTTTCAAAGGACAACTTCATCTCTAGTAAAGTTTTCCTTTAATAGCCACAAGCACCCTGAGTGCAGCCCACATCGGATAATACTTATCATCTTCCCCAATCCAGCGACCCCATTCATTCCTATGGGTAAGCCTCATAGGCGGACTCCCTACAGCAGTAGGAAATGAATGGAGCCACAGCCCGCATGTACAGTATAGAGAGAAGCTGGCCAGGACCATATTGGAGTAAAGATTGCTGGATTTGGGGGGCGGGGGTTGGGGGGTTAAGTATTATCACAGGTGAGCTGCACTCGGGGTTGAGGGAGCTTATTAAAGGATACCCTAAAGGTGAAAGTCAACTTTGAAGTTTTTAAAAAAACTTTTTTTCTTTGCAAAGTTTGTAATTGCCACAGAGAAAACCCCATTTATCTCCCTAAATTGTAGCATCTAATGACATTGAGGGTCCACAATAATCCTGGGAGCTGGAGACCATATGATTTCTTGCTTGGTGTTCAAGTCATGTTGGTGAGCTCAGAAGCTGCACTTTTTTTTTTGTCTTATTCATGGAAAGAAATATTCTTGTTTGGTAATGAAGATATGTATGTGGGTTTTTAATTTTAATGATGGGTCCATTAATGGGGATTTTTACGGTTTCCCCAGATTTGTGCGGGAGGTGAAGCAGCCAGGAGGTCACAAGTTTCTTGGGTACAGATTCTCATTCTGTGTGCTCTGGCTTATTTCCATCATTTTATACTACATTTTAGTGGAGTGGCGTGTTCATCACTCTTATTCTTTTATATTTTTTATGCGATCGATAGTGTTTTAATGTTTGCTTGTTTTTAGAGATTTTGCAGTATTCTTTGAAATATGGTAATTTGGTTTTACAAATGTACAGATACCGTTATTTTTTAAGAAGTCAATTTGTTACCTTTTTGTATTCTTTTTTTTATTCACTAGATATGTCTACAGTGGATGAACTGATGCAACCTTTCCGGGGAGACCAATGCTTTGATGTGAAGTCTTTAAAGCAAAGGTAGCCGGTACATACTGTTTGTCAAAAAAAATTGTGTTTCTTTTACTTTGTCAAAATGTGATTTTTCATTTTTCTTTTTTAAGTGAGAACAAAGAGCCTGGATCAGTGGGCAAAAATCTCAAGGGTGTACTTGGAGAGAATGAAAACAAAATCTATTTGCAGGAATGGCACAGTGGAAAATCAGAATTAAGAGAGAGTTTTTCAGTGCCTGAGTTTGATCCTCAGCATGACAATAATAAGAATGTGACTCAGAACAGTGAAAGTCAGCAACAGCTTGCAGCCTCCAAAGAACCAGGTCAACCTGAACGTTTTACTATGCACCAAAGAGAAAGAAGTGGTCATGTAAGAATACTTTACTTAAATACTAATTTTAAGAGTAATTTGATGTTCTGCAACAGGTGTTATAATGTTGCTTACTTTCTGTTTTCAAGAACTGAGATCAATTCCATTTTTACACCACCCACCGGATGCCATACTATTACGTACAGTATGTGGAGAGCCCTGCGGGTGGAGCTAACACTTTTAATTGCCTTGCTAGAAGGAAATCTGGCAGATTTATTACTGAAAGTTCACAGGCCTATGTTTAAGTGTGTATTCATTTCATTTTACGATGATGCCAATTATGTTATATAATAATATTTTATAACACATAACGGCATTTAGGACAAAGTGAGTATTGGTGAAATGATTCTGCAAAACCATTTAAGTAGATTTTCATCTGATAGATACAAATAAAGTATGCAAAATGCATCCAGTAGTTTTTTTTTTCTGTTCTTTTCTTATAATGCACAAAACAATAAGTGAAATATGTGGGCAAACCGTTTATAGGCAATATATTAAGTTCTGTGCATTTTTTATTTACAATAAATAAAGAGGGATTTTCCAAATGTTATTTCCATTATACACACACCATGGAGTGTGTTGAAGTTGATCGACTGGAGGGAAGTGTAAAAACACCTTATTATTACAATCTCATTGTGTCAGAAAGTCTGCAACATGTGTAAATCCTTCCATTTACATGGCTACTATTCTATCTCCCTTAGTTGGGAACACAGTACACCATATTCGGAATTCTAAAGAATTTGTGGATCACGGATCATATGGATTGATGTTAAAAGTAGGGCTGGTAATGATTACAATTTTCGTGTTCAATTAATCGAAAACATTTTTAATCGATTAATTACGAATAATTATAACGCACATACAGATCCAACTACATTGGCCTATACACATACAGCACAGCAATGAAGTAATAAAATGAACTAGGATCACACTAATCCAGCATGTTATTAATCTCACGTGCCCACTCAATATGGTCGCCGCTTGAGTGGGGCAACTCAGAATAATAGCGTGCTGGATTAGTGTGATCCTAGTTTATTTTATTACTTCATTGCTGTGCTGTATGTGTATAGGCCAATGCTTTGGCTGGCGCTTGTGCAGAAAGTTTCTTGGGGAAACTCACCGGCCAAGTGGCTCCGTTGGCTAACGAAGGGGGGAGGAGTCCGGTGACATCACGGACATCGACGTCACCGGACTCCTCCCCCTTCCCTTCGTTAGCCCGCGGTATGCTGAGCATAGGATGACGGGAGGACGTTAGTTTGTGTCCTCCCGTTACCCTAAGGAGAACTATGGGGAAAAGCCTTAACCCCATAGTTCTCTAAGTGTTCCCTCAACTGTAACACTCTGTATACAAGTCCTGAGCTTTTAAGCAGTTAGAAAGTCTGCCCCACTGAAGCCTCACACATTACTGTTAGTAGGACATGATCCTAGTTCATTTTATTACTTCATTGCTGTGCTGTATGTGTATAGGCCAATGCCTTTGCTGGCGCTCGTGCAGAACTAAGTACTCACCGGCCCAAGTGGCTCCGTCAGCTAACGAAGGGTAGGGGGAAGGAGTCCGGTGACGTCACAGACATCAACGTCACCGGACTCCTCCCCCTTCCCTTCGTTAGCCGTCACGGACATCGACATCACCGGACTCCTCCTCCCTTCCCTTCGTTAGCCGACGGAGCCACTTGGGGAAGGGGGAGGAGTCCAGTGACGTCTATGTCCGTGACATCACCGGATCACCGACGGGACTCCCGGAAGCCGGCGGAGAGGTGAGTGTTTTCATTAGCAATCAAAATAATTTTAATCGATCAAAAAGTTTCACGATTAATCGAGAAATTAATCTTTAATTTCCACAGCCCTAGTTAAAAGCAGGAGAGACAATGGCATCCTATGATGTCACTTCCATTTTTTCTTGTATAGCAAGTGTGAGGCTGTTGAAGCTGTAAGAAAACTTCTGAAATAAGATGAGACTTCACAACCTTGGTGGACCTTTTTGTCTCTTGCCTATTTCATGTACAATAATAACTTCTACAGACAGAAACCTGCCTGTGCAGTGGGATCACCAGTATGGAGTGAGGAATGAAAAGAGCTGAACATTTGGAAGACAAAACCGCTTAACAAACGGATAACCCAAAATAGGAAGGGAACTCTGCAGGTCATGAATCAGCTTTCCTCCCACATTTTAAGAAATGGTTATATACTTTAGAGGACATTGAGGTGCACATTTTTGACTGAAGACACCTGGTTCACATGAGGTATGAAAGAGTCCATTTATGTGAAAGTGGAACAACTACCCCTGAACAGGGATGGAGGCCTTCAGCACCATCTGTCACCCACATTTAATGCTATTTTAAAATTTTACCCTGAAGATATGATTAAAAACAAATTCACACCTACAGCCATGCAAGTCAAAGGATTTACACATGTTGCAGCCTTCCTATCACCATGGGATTTTAAATGGAATAGGGTGTCTTGCACAAACTTTCCCACCTATCCCTAAACAATCAACATCTGCCTTGACAGATCTCATATGTCCTTAACACATTTAATTTGTGTTTTTATTAATATGACCTAGGTAGCTAATAATGCTAGGGCTTGTTCCTGACACTCATTAGAACTGAAGTAAATTTGATAAGCTGTGAAACGTCTTCAACATTACAGAAGTCCAGTTGAATGTGACAAACTGCTACTACATATACCATGGCCTGGAAGAATAAGAACCTTTACAGGCATAGTTTTAAACTTAAAGTAGTATTAAAGTGTTATTTTCTTTTTACATATATCTACTGCTAGCAAGCAGTAGATTTATGCAAAAACATTTAAAAAAATTAGAAAGTTACCAAACAGGTAAAAACGTACCTCCTTTCTCCGCCCTGCCCGCTCTCGGCTGTAGAAATCAGCTTCCCCGAACAGCCGTGCAGGAGGATGAGTGCGGGCACATGCACAGTAGAGGTCACTGGCGGGAGAAGAGGAGAGACTTAGTGTAACTCAATGCACGCAGCCGTGAGCGTGCACGTTGGACGGACACGAGGAGTCTGCGCTGGATCAGAGACCGGCAACAGCGCTGGAGGGTCTGCAAGAAACAAGTGGAAGGAAGAAAATGATCGGATCAAGAGGCATCATTTAAGGTAAGTCCTTAAATCAGCATTGTGGGGCAAGGGAATTGGGACTAATGTCACTTTTTAACAAACTAATCTTATTATAATAGCAACCACTCATTACATACTACATATAATTTTACAATAATATCCCCCCTTTAGTGACCAGATCCACTTCAATACACTACTCTACATTGCATGCTATTTTCTATTGTTATTTTCAGTCATGTGACTATCACTGTTGAAACAATGGTTGTTACAACTTGGTGACCTCAGGATACAGGTACAGCCCTAGTATGCTTTAGTAATATAAAACTTAACTTGGGCGTTTTTTTTTGTTTTTTTTTTCTGTAGGTAATTGTAATTGTGATCAAAGTGTAACTGTTTTACTTCTTTTTTTCATTTTATAGGTTGTAAACTATGGAAATTATCCAGTTCAAAACAAGACTACTTCAGGTCTGCTGTATAACAAACACTCAAACAAAACAGTTAAGAGTCCAACGTCTGTTTTAAAGAAAGGTCAAAATGCCCAATATGCCTTTGTAAAAAGCTCTGGTTATGGAAAGACCAGCACTGCAACAAAACCATCCTCTGCTCCTGAATCTTTTCAGTCTAAGACATACGTTTGGCATAAAAAGGAGAAGTCGCCTATTAGGAAGCAGCAAAGAGGTATTGTCGGGTTGTAACTTTTGCTTTTATTTTAACCATACTGTTTTCTTTCCCAAATGTTGTAATAAGTACATGTAAAGGCAGAACGTTCCTTTTTCATTTCATATAGAGTAGAGAAGGGTTAGGGTATTTGCCAAGTTTTTTTCTTTTATTGCAGTCTTTGTCCTCACAGGGGACATATTTTCCAATGGGGGCACATATTCTGGCAACAACTGTCTAGGATGGGAATTCTCCTCACCTGGGGGATCTCCTCTAACTGGGGTTTCCAAGACAGTAAGTAAAGAGAAATCTTTCTAGCGGAAGACTGCTAACCCAAGAGGGGTTTTAACCTTTCTCTAAACTGTCTAAAATTAAAAACATAAATACATTTGGCTATTTATAACTTAGAGACACTAAACTCAGGAGTTCAACCTTTAAAAAACATTCAAGTACCTTTTAACCTTAACTGTTAACACAAATGTATCTTATTTGTGTATCACTCAGCTGTAGATCCTCAAATCATCTCTGAATTGGTGCTGACACTGTGCTTCCTTCTGGAGGGTGGCTACTTTTGTTCCTCATGGTCGCTGTGTGTGTTGTAAAGTAGCCACCACTCCAAGCTTGCTCCCATGATGGACTACAATCTCATGTTTAGTTTACTATTTTGTAGGGATGCACTGATATATAGTCTGAATTTGAGCTGGAGTGTGAGTGGCTTTCTTTACAGTGACAGCTTCCAGTCACACAGTCAGTAGGATAGACTCCGAGACAGATGATCTCAGTGGCAGCCAATCGTAGCCCATGAAACTCCTCCAGTCTTTAGATTTCTTATGACAGAGGTCCTAAACCTTCCCCCATCCCTTTAGCAAAATCTAAAGCAGAACTATATCAAAAATGTTTGTTTTTTTTTTAAGTAGGAAAGCCCCAAACAAATATAGATGTCTCAGCTCAATACAAAATGAATTTATTTACAGAGTTCCTTTTAAAAATCTAATTTCAAGTAGTGATTATTTTTTCCATGTGTTTTGATGCTATTTTAGACCTATTATCCGATACGAGAACTATAAGGTTTGCAGAAGATGTTGGTTTTCCAGAGGACTCAAGAACAAGTAATGCACAGATGCTTGACCAGAGCACTACTCAAGGGCATTCGGACTCTCAAGGGGTAAATCTGCACAAATAATAATAGGTAGACTCCAAGGCAAGGCAATAAATCCATAGTTAAAAATGTATATTTTAGCTGTTTTACCTGCCAAAGGATCGCTAGCAATGTTCATACAGTCTTGTGATCGGGGCAGCACAGCCAGGTCTTGAATCTCCCTACAGACTGAACCACAGTCATTGAAAACAGCCTGGTCCAGTAACAATACCAGCCTGTAACAGGACAATGAAAGCGAAGTAGTGCACCGTGGAGGTCATTCCTGTGCTCTGTAATCCATGTTCGTGGGTTTAAACTGACCATATTTTAAAAAAACCATTTGAGCCCTATTTGGCTAAAAAAAAAAAAAAAGATGTGCTTCCCTGTCTAGTCTTGTCTCGAGTACTACTCTGCAGGGAATTGCAGGAGGCGAATATGAAAACAAATCTAATATATTTTATCATAATTTTACACATCTGGATTTAACGGTGGTTTTAAATGTGCCTGGAGCATAAGCTAATTGTTTCAGTAACAAGATAGTTTAACAAAATACATACATGTATCAACATTTCTTTGTTGTACTGTTATGAACTCGAAGTTGTTTATAATGGTTTAAAAGAAAAATATTGTGAAGGGAATTTATCAAAACCGGAGCAGACAAAATGTGGAGCAGACTTGCACTGCAGCCAATCAGCTTCTCTCTTTCATTTTCAATTCGTACCTGAGCAAACTGAAGAGAGATGCTGATTGGTTGCCATGGGCAACTGCTCCAGATCCTGTTTGTTCCAGTTTTGATAAATTCCCCTCAGTATATTTTTAGTGCATAATTTTAGTAATGCAGTTTATTTACCTAAAAATCCTTTTTTATTCTCGTATGACTTACATTTTTACAAGCTTGCTTTTCCACTCCATATTTATTGTATTAAAATATTAAAATAGATTAATAGAATGGCCACTAGAAGGAGCTTTGAGTAGCTCAGTGCAATTTATATGTCTCTATGTTAACAACTTTTGAGGACCTGTTTACTTTATATTGCCTTGCAGAGTGATGCATTACCACAACCCATTAATTTATAATGGGCCTCCACACAGGGGCATGATTTTTTTACACTGTGCGCTGCAATGCACTGTAGCACAGGCGTGTTGTGTATGTTAGTTGGTGTGCCATATAAAAAGAAGTACAACACACATACGCAAACTGTTGTGCTGTGCTACGTTAAGTGTGTGAAAATACACTGGTTCACATAAATCTGTTTACAACAAGGTGATCTCTTTAGATGTAAAAACAAAAGTAACACATTTCCTTTTAATATCAAGAAGTGGTATCAAAGTGGAGTCATTGCTCCACCAACCTTAACAGATCTTCTGTTTCATTATCGTAGAAAACTAATGATTGTATCTGACTGGTAGCATTGAAAACGAGCTCCACTTTTGCTGAATTTTTTCAGTTAACAGGTTTCTGTATCAGCACTTTGTAGTCTAAAGTTGGCCATACACCTATAGATTTTCGATCGGAAATTTTCGTTGCTGCCAAAAACACTCTTTCGTTTCTAGCTCAAATAGCTCATTGTGCACAGACCAATGTCGATTTCCATAATAGTTTTTTAGCAAAACGAACTCACTGAATTTTCGACGATCGAGAGAACGGATTTTCGTTTGCGCATGTGCAGTGTTCTTGCCACTAATCAGTCGATTTTTTCGTACGATTCGAAAACAAATTTCCAGCCTGACCGATCGAGGAAATTCGGCCAGGAGTACCAGAATTTAAAATGTTGGTGTCCCATCAACTGATCGATTATCGTTCGAAAGACCATTCGTGGAAGATTTCCGAACGAAAATCAATAGGTGTATGGGCACCTTTTAGACATACATGGTTGACTTGATACCATTTTCTGGGGGACAGCAATACAGCTCTGAAGATCGGGAAAAGTCACCGAGACTCCCAGTAGTGATGCAAGCATGTCTTTTATTAATGCATGTTCACATGATCACAAAGCTTTGGGAACATGCATCAGTAAAAGATGTGCTTGCATCATTATTGGAGTCCCGGTATTTTTTCCTGATCTTCATTGCCTGTAAACACGGCACCAACGTTATCACCCACCACTTTGGGTTATTTACAGTCAGGAGTGCAATGGGACTCACACAATAGCAATACAACTCTGACACAACACATATTGCTTACATAAATGTCTCTTCTTGTGATTAATGGCAACACTGTAATGTGGCATACATTAGCAGCATTTCTTCATATTTACTGACACGCCCCAATATTTTCCCATCACTTTCTTTGAGGTCATTATTAAAGATGACACACAACACAAGACAAAAGTGTTGCTTATAAGCTCAAGCCACATACACCCACAGCTATTTATTGCATTATAGTTTCATGGTGCACATTTTAGCTAGGATTACCCCTAAAGGTAGCATGAACCAGGTAACAATTTATAAATGCATGTTAGTAAACTGTTAAACAAAGCCCTGAAGAAGGATGTGTGAATGTTTACTCTGTGTAACATTTGGTTAATTCACAGATCAGTAGGCCTGTTAGCTCATATGAAATCACCTCAGAAAACGAGTCTGCCATGCATTATTCTAATTTGATTGGAAGAGACCTGACTGTACTTCAGAGGCTTCAGAATGTAGAAGAGAAATTAAATGCCGAACGCGGGCAAGACTTTTCGCGAAAAGAGGAGGAATTTAAACTAGAGACACATGGCATGAAGGCAAAGTATGAGGAGGAAATCAAACAGCTGAAGCAGGAAAATTATAAACTTGAAGCAAAGGTATTGTCTAGTTATAATGTAATACTGGAAAAGCTCTTAAAGGAAGTCTGAACTGAGAAAAATATGATTGATGTAATCTCTGTCCTGCTTCTAAAAATACTAGTTTCCAGCTGTCTGCCTTATATTTTTTAAGTCCGTGACCTGAAACCGGCATCCAGCAATTGATTGCAAACACCCCTGTTTATACTTGTTCTAAGCCATTCACTCAGAAGGTGTTAAAGCAATTGGATCAGCAGGACAGCTAGACAAGTAACATTTTCATAAGGAAGTCAACAGTGGAAGACCATTTTTTTTTTATTACTTTTTTTCTCTCCGAACACATTTTCTCTAAAGTAGAATTCCAGCCATTTTTTCCAAACGTTTTTGAAACATCGTAGAAGGGATGGACATAGCGTTTTAAATTTGTGTTGCTGTGTGTAGAGTTTTTATCATATAACTAACTTCTAAACGCGACACTCATTGTAATGTGTTTAAGTGCTCTACAAAAAAGTGCAGCATGTGTAACATTTTTCCAGCACACACCATCACAATACTTCGGTGTGAACTGGGCGCATAGACAGCCATAGCATTTGCTGTGTCCTTGTATTAAGCCTACATTGATTAACACGGCTCAATGCGCTGGGTGTGAATGCGCCCTAATGGACCTTTCACATTAGATTTGAGATTTGACAAATCTCCTTTCTGTGTCACACAAAGCCCCTTTCAGCAAAGCTGTGCAATTCTCAAAACACTGCAGCATTTATTTTAAAAAGCACATATTTATTAGCTTTCCACCTACCAGGCCTTCTGACATCGGCGGTGCTTTCTGAGAAGGCTACCCCTTGGAAATGTATTATCAACATTTAGTGAGATTCTTATTGTAAATGCACATTTTGTATGTATGTATGTATGTATGTATGTATGTATGTATGTATGTATGTATGTATGAGGTTTGGATTACCAATACACAGCTTTTCTGAAAGTGTGTTAGGGTGACACACAAAGGAGATTAGACAGATTTTGGTTGAAAAGTCTACTTTAAACTATACCTACTTCCTAAAGACTCTAAAATAAAAAACATTGTGAGCAGGAAGGTATTTTTTTTTTGCAGAGGAGCCTTACTAGGTCTCTTCTGCAATAAAGGCTTCTTACCTCCCACCATGCATTCCTGTGTACAATGTACACTGAACTGCGCATATGCACCTCAATCTACAATTCTGGGATCTGTCGGGTGCCAGTACTCACTCAAAGGACAGACAGGAGAGGGGAGACCCTACACCCGGAAAAAGCTGAAGAGATGTGATCTGTGATGTACCCTCTGCAGCAACTGTTTTTTTTCCTTCAAGGTGTTCATACAATGTGTTTATTGTATGTAGATAGATAGATAGAGATCTATCGATAGAAGACATACTGAGACAATTTAGCATAAAAAAAAAACCACAACAAGCCTGGATGCAGTTCAAGTACTATGTAGATATTGATGCAGAGAAGAGGACACTCTCAGCACTTTGCAGGAATAGCATTCGCTTAGACATTTGTCTGATTTGCTGATTCTTTGAGCTTCAATCTGCTTTAAAATTTGTTCATAGTCTATTTTCCTATAGTAGATTCATGTAACGAATGTGTTGTCCAGTTCTCTGTAAATGATAACTTGCTATGTTTTGCTGGAGTAAACATTATTTTACTAACATATGCTAAGTTTCTTTTGTGGTACAACACAAATGACAGATGCTTAAAAGTGGTGTTGTATTTATTTTTAACTGTGTTTTTTTTTAGCTACATGCTGAAGAAGAGAAATTTAGGAAGAGGAATCTGTTGGGTGATAAAAATAATCCTGCAACAGAGGAGAAACTGCAGCCTATAAGACAGGAAATAGAGGAACAGGAGACACTTCTTAAAGGATATCAGCAAGTATGGTTTTAAATCATACCGGTGCATTATTGATATGACAAACCGTGAAGTCAGTATATAATAGAAGACGGTACACTCCAGCCAGGATTACAAATACATAAGCATTGAAGCATATGAGGGGGTTACTTTTCTACCAGGATGTAATTGCTATATTGCAAATATGTACTGCATTTTGTGATGTTGCTTGTGATACTGGATACTTCTCACTTACCAAGCCAGATTTTTTAAAAAAAATTGAAGTCGATTAACAGAAAAAATGTTTTAAGTGGTTTCCCCAAATTCAACTGAAAATGCAACTTTTAATGACCTCTGCATTCCCAAAGTTATTCACCCCCTTCACGTGAAGCATCTTTAGTACTTTCTAGGGCACCCATTTGCTGTCATGACGAGATGCATAGCCAGACACCAGCTTCTGACAGCATTCCTAAGGAATCTTACCCCATTCCTCATGAGCAATAGCCTCCAGTTCAGGAAAATCAGTCAGGTGACTGTAATGGCCACTGTAGAATCCACCAAACCTTGGTGAAATTTGAGGTATGCTTTGGAACATTGTACTGTTGACCTATGTGTCCTATGACGGCCAAGCTTTAGCTTCCTCACAGGCAGCATGACATTTTCTTCAAGGATTTCCTTGATACTTCAATGAATCCATTTTGCCTTCCTTACATTGCAGGTTTCTTTTCAGCGTATGCTTCATTCTTCTTCCTCCAGACATACCGCTGATCCATTTCAAAAGTTCCAGTTTTGTTTCATCGCTCCACAGAATAGAATCCCGAAACTTCTGTGGCTTATTTATATGATTTTGAGCATATTGGAACCAACTTTTATTGTGCTTTTGGGCCAGTAGTGCTATACGTCTTGGACTTCTGGCATGGAAACCTGCGTTAAGTACGCACTGCACCTCAATCCTCACTCGAAAGAAAGAGCGTTCGCGTATGATTTCTGAATGATAATAGTACAATGCATGGTCAACATGTGCAATATTTCTAACATGCAGTCAAATGTGACACTCAACAAACCCCTAGCCAGTTCAGGTATTTCATGTGTTCTAGCTCAAGCACACCTAGTGCAACTGATGAAGCACTTGATTAGATGCATCAGGTGTGCAGGAGACACCAGTTTCGCAGATGTGTGCTCTTGTGAGGCATTCTATTCAGGGGGTTGATTTTAATTTTTAGACTGCAGAAGTCATTAAAAATGAATTTTCAGTTGAATTTGGGGAAACCGCTTGAAACATGTTGACCTTTTTCAATTGCTTTTGTTTGATTGTTTCATTGCAAGCAACTGAAATGTTATACATTTTGCCAATAAACCTGATTTGCAATGAGGGTTGAATAATTTTGATTACAACTGTTTGTGTTGGGGTTTTAAGTAATTTTCAGAGCTAAAGTCATGCCTGTCATTGTTTATTGAACAAGATCCCAGCTTTTGCATTTTTTTTCCTGGGGGAAATGTAACGCTAGCAGGGTTAATGTCTTTTTGATGGTAATGCTGTTTGTTTTCACAGTGCAAATATAAATAGATACTTTTGCCTTAATGAGAGCAATTACACAAGACCTAGAGATAACATCATAATGGATAATATTTGTTTATTATTATTGCATAGATTTGAGAAAGTGTAAAGGGGTTGGCCACCTTTTGGGAAAATGTGTGCATAACAAATTACATAATTTTTCTAATCTTTTGTAATGAATACACATAAATATATTGCAGTGAGGGAGAAAGCACGTAACATTGGAATAAGTGTAGTTTGGTGAAATTACAAAATTATATATTATAGTGTATATACACCTACTGTATAGCAATGTATTGTATATTTTTTTATTTCTAGCTCATCATTTTTCACTAGTCAAATAACACTAAACTGATAAACCAAAATGATCATTTGTTTCAAAGGCCCTTGCATTGACCGCAACTGTGACCGCAATAAATGCAAATCTTCAATTGACATCAAAGGAATTCATGTAGAACAAAAAAATATTTATGCAGCCGAGTCCATTGAGTGATTTTCTAGATAAAGCCTATTTTGGGTCAGTATTTTAATCAGTGCTTATCTCTGGAAACTACTTGATTTTAAAGGTCTGCTTCAGGGAGCTAACTTTTGAGTGTTCCACTAAAGGCCGAGTCAGACAGGAACTATGCACACTGCCATTTTGAGAACCCGTGTAAGCCATGTTGAACTGAACACCAGGTTAACGTGTTCTGTAGCGCAGATATCATGTCACATGATTTTGCTAAAGTTGTGGTGTGCAAAAAGTGACAAAAAGTTATCTAGGAACATGTAAGCTACAGAGTATTTTCCATTTACCCATGTTTTCTTATGAAAGTAACTACATTTAACCACACTTCCATTAACAGACAGATCTCATAATAATGGGGCTGGTAATGATTAAAATGTTTGTGTTCGATTAATTAACCCCTTCATGACTGAGGCCCTTTTTTCCATTTTTGCACCCATGTTATATTCCACATTTTAGGCCTGAAAATGACGTAAAACCCCCCAACATTATATATTTTCTGAATGCCAAGACCCTATAGAATAAAATGGTGGTAGTTGAAAATTTTTATGTTGCGCAATATTAGCGCAACTCCTTTTTTAACCCCAATATTTAGTGAAAAATTTAATT